ATGAGTTTGGGTCCTTAAGTTTATACCAACCACAAAAGTCAACTCTATGGAGATTAACATTCTAAATGTAAATCTCTTAGAAAACAATATAGACGATTATGACCTTTGATTAGAAAATGACTTCTGAAAGAAGACACAAAACGTACAAATGATAAAAAGATGGATAAATTTGACATTAAATAATTTTTGTTTATTTATGCTACCACCTGGGGAAGATATTTATAGTATATACAACCAATATAGAGCATATGCAAAGAACTCTTATAAATCAATAAAAGAAACAATTAAAATGGGAAAAATTTGTGAGCAGGCATTTCATGGAAGAGGAAGTAGGAATGGTCAATAAAAATGAAGAGGTATGCAATGTTATTAACTAGCAGGGACATGCATAGTAAAACAATAATATTGACAATCATGAAAAAAGCCTGACATTTTCAAAAGTTGGTGAGGATATGGAGCAGTCTGAATGTTTTTATGTTGCTATTTGGGAGCACAATCACTTTGGAAAATAATTTGGCATTATTTAGATAGTAGAGCACGCACATGTCATACGACCCAGTAATTCTACATGTTTATATGTACTCTAGAAGAGTCTTCAGACCAGCAGCATGGGCATTAGAAGTAAAAATTTTCAGCCCCAATCCAGAACTTCTAAATCTGAAACTCTGGAAATGGGGCCAAGAAACTGGTTTAACAAGTCCTACAGGGGATTTTAATGCACACTATAGTTTGAGAACGATTGTCCTAGAGAAACCTTTTTACAGCTATATCTTTTTTTTAAATGGCCTTATTGAGGTATAATTGACATACTATAAAATTGTTTTAAGTATGCCCTAGAGAAATACTTTCACCATGAGAGATGTACATTGGACACTCATAATAGCAAGGTTAATAATAATAAAAACTCGATACAACCCAAATGTCCATTACAGTAGAATGAATAATAAATTTTATGTAATTGCTTAATTACCATTGAGAAATGAAAAAGGATAATCTAATATATACCTCAACATTGATGAATCTCAGAAACACAAAAATGATTTCAGCAATTTTCAGAAGAACAAATCTTACAAAGTTCAAATGCATGTAAAATTAAATACATGATTTAGGGATAAATTTTCTATAAAAAAGAAAAATGATTAGCAAAAAGCACAGGCACTGGTCTATTTCTTGAGCTGGATAGTGACTACTTAGATATTCATTTTATTATTAAAAAACTAAATTATATATATATAATATATGTGCTTTGTATATATAATAGAATTCAAATAAAAATAAGAAAAAAAAATTTAAAGCAGGTGTGTGGTTGTGGTCACTCATACATGCAGTTGATCAAAAGAAAGAAAAAGAAGTTTGTTAAATTTTTGAGGAAACTATATTGCCCCCCAAAATCTCAAGCCTGCCTGGGAAACTTGTGACTCATCAATCATCCTGTGGACCCTGCATTTGCACCATAGGGAGTGGGTTGCAAAAGTTGTGCACTTATTTTTCCCAGAAAAATTATTTTCCTCAGTGCCCACATCAGAGGTTGCTGTAGGTGTCTTTGGATTAAGAACGTCTTCCAAAGAGGTACACCAGGAGCTGGGAGAGGATGGATAAGGGAGATACTTCCAGAAACAGAGGCTGCCTAATCTGATTAATCTTGCAAGGAGCTTTCTTCACTATCAGAACTTGGAATCATTACTATTCCTGCCCAACCTAATTTGGTATGTGCCATGGATTAATGTCTTCCATGTATTTCACATTTTCCTCTTTTCTAAACGGGAGTTTTAATTGCAATTGTCCTAGTCTATCTTTATCACTGTAATATTGGGCATTGGGTGGGTGTGGGGGTACCTTGACAAATAGAGAAGACTGTAGAGACTCTAGATTTCAAGCTGGATGCAGTAGCTGGCTGAGATTTTGGGGTTGCCTTCTTCAGGAGTCTGATGAATGCATTCAGTGTAAAATGCCTGCATGGGAAGAAGTGTATGCATGGATATTAAGCAGTTCGAGGGTGAGCTGTGGCAGACCCTGTGGATTTGAGACAGGAGGTGCTGAGTTTCCTCTGGCTCAGGTTACAGGACAGCTTCTGGGTTACAAGCCATTCCCCAAGGTTTCAGGCGCCTACTCTAGGCCTTCCCATAGAGGAAAGTTAGTGTTGCTAGTTAGACCTATTTTTAGCACCAACATGGAGAAAAGGAGATGGCTTATGCAAATCTAGTGGCTGGGTATGCTCAGTGGAAAAGAATTATATAATCCTGGTAGCTGAATGACCTTCCACTTGGGGTGCTAGAGAACACAGAATATTCTTGAATGTGTTTGGTGCATGTAATAGGATTTGACCAATGAACACGCTCCAAGAAAAGACCAAATGAGCATGTGCAAGACTATGTTACATAACAGGGAACCATCCCTTTAACTGAACATTCATTTGCTAGTGAAACTATAATAGCCAAATCCCAGCAGAAGGTGGGATTCTTGCTCACTTTCCTGGGGCCAACCCACACTTTGCTGGCTGAGGTGCGTATGCTTTACTTTTGCGTTAAGCTTACTTTTAGCAAGTGGCTGCTCACTCTCTTGAGCCAACCTCTACACTGAACTTTACGTATTTCTTACTTTTGGATGGGACTTGGAGTGGGCCCTGCTCAGTCTCTGGGGCTAGGCTGCACTATCTCTGTGGAATCTGTATCTCTTACTTGTTACATTACACCTGTTCTCACTTTCTATTGTGACTCTGCTCTTGAATTCTTCCCTGTGGCGAAGTCTAGAACCTGGTAAGAGGATGGGGTGGGTTGAGGCTGACCATCGGGCCCCCCAGACACTACCTCCAGCATCAGATTGGCTAACCTAACACATATTTTAATCCCAATGCACATTTCTAACCCTCTCCTTGACTAGCCCCATCATAGAGCTTGGAAAACCTAAGAATTGTACTTTCTGTCCCAGTCTTCTTTATATCTAGGGGTACCCATGAAATAGTTCTGGTGAATGACACATAAGTGAAAATCTTTTGCAGGGGTTAGGGGACTTCTAAGAAAACTCTTTCTTACTTGATAAAAGAACTGATGTTGGTGGCCCCCCTTTTGAATGAATTTGGATATGACTTCTGTAGCTATGACAGCTCTTGCAACTATGGGGAAAATGCCCTGAACCAATGCCAGAAGCTGCCTACCCCCATACTTCTTTAGAGTATAATACAAAATAAAATCTATGTTTAATTAAACCACTGTTAGTTGAATTCTGTTATTTACAGAAGAAAGCATTCCTAACTTATACATCACTGCAAAATGCCGATAATTCCTATCATAAAGTTTTTCGAAGATTAAATATATAAAATGTATAGTGCTTGCTTAGGCAATTTTCATGCCCTTCAGTCTGTCATACTTCCTAAATCAATTTAGCTATCTTTTGGGAAGAAATTGTAGTTCAACTGTATCTTTTTATTTAAGCCTGGGTCAGAATCACGTACAGTATTCAAATTAGCAAAGGTATCAGTTTTGTATAAAGTAAAGATAACATTTTCTAGTTTGTTCCATATTCTTATTTTGTCATGCCTAGTATTTTTGTTGACTTCTTTGGCCAGAAGAGTTTACTGCTCCAGCACCGTCTTCGAAGAGTCCACAACTATGCTAAGTCTATTTTAATTACTTCCCTCTAGATTCATTAAATTGTACTTGCTTACACAGATATTACCCTGCTGCTTTTCTATAGGCTTACAGAGCCTAGCATTTTCTGCTCTTTATCTTTTGGTAGTTAGCTGCTGCCTAAAATTAGAGCTAGTCTCTCATAGAGAGAGAAAACCAGCAGCAGTAAACCACAGATGTAATTGGAGAGAATACTGAGCAGGGATCCCTCTCCTAAAATGTGAACCTGACTCCAGGATAAACCATCGATCTATTGAAAGCTTTTTAACCTTAAAAAGTCTGTATAAAATGCAGATATGCCTGCGAGACTGCGAAGCTTATTAGCTTATGGCTGAGTTTTAACACTTCTGTGGAGAGTAGTTAAAAAAAGTAGAGAGGAAATCAAAGTGGGAATGGGACCTGCCTGAACAGGAGGACGACTTTAGAAGTGGGAAAAATGCACTGATAAGGGAGGGGAGCCACCCAAACAATTTGTCTATATAATATTTTGCTTTTTGGAACTGAAATATGTAGGAAAGTACTTTAAAGTATTGAAGTTCAATGAATTATTTTTCGTATTGTTCGCTGATTCTCCCTCTCAAATGATTTATAGAGGGTGCTAAAGCAATCCCCAGAGAGCTTCAGTTTAACAATTTCTCCTGATTATTGATGGATTTCCTACCCCTTTTCCAGGTTGCTAAACGAAATTATGGCCAAATTACCAATGGCATCGTAGTTCATCTTTTAAATAGATTTTGTGGGGAGGCTTTCCAAAGGTTAAAATAAATCTTAACTCAATTGTTTCTTCTTGTTTCCCTGGTATTCACTTCCCTTCAAGAACATGTTGCTTTAATGTCACCCAATCTGGACGCAGACACCCAGAAGTATGAATTTTACATCACGGTTTTTAAACATGTCTGGTGATTACGGAGAGGTGGCCTTCAAACTAGAACCTTCTCAAAACCACTTATATTTCAAGAGATGGATTCTGTGAAAAGAGCTGTACAAATAAGCCATTTTCTGTGCGTCCATTATATGCAAGGTTTTGCACTCCCCGGTCACGTGTTACTTTACAAAGAGACTTGCTGGTCCTGAGAGAGCAGACAGCAGAAAGGTTTGTGGAGAGCCGGAAACGGATCCATGTGGGCGGGGCTGAGCTTGCGCAGATAGGGGTTCTTCTGCCCCCGCGTGGGCGGACAGGTAGCCCCGTGCGCCTGCTGGGCTTCTCGGGCTGGGCCAATCGGGGGGCCGGCGCGCGGGAGGGGGCGGGGCGAGGACGCCGGGGGGCGGGACGCCGGGGCGGGGCTGGTTGTGGC